ATGTATTATGTATTTCAGCAAAATTAACTCTTTATTATTCATGTAGGCTAATGAATTATGAGTGACTGTACATTATTGTTTTATACTGTACATTATTGTTTCTCCTCTATGCCCCGGCTTTCTGAAACATGTCGATTTTAACAAAGCTCATCGATCTGAAAAGCGAGGTGTGCTCTGATTGGCCAGCTATCCAGTGTGTTGGGATTGGCCGAATACCTCAAGCGTGTGACGGAAATGTTACGCCCCTTAACATACTGTGATGCCCTGTCTGGCCGGAGCGACGAGACAGAAACATTAAAATCCATTATAAAAGAGGCATTTGTTGCATCCAGTGTGGACATAATTACGGATCATAATGACTCATACTGTCTTTTTACATGTTGCATTGCATCGCGCCGCGTAAACATAAAACCATGTCTGCATTTGTGATCGGAGAAATGTCAAACTACAAATGCTACTCTACACTGCTCAAAACTCGCATTTGAATAGTCAGTGGCAAATTCTTTAAATATAAAAAACGTACTTACAGTCTATGAGTCAGAACAGCCGATATTGTAGTCTACTCTCCCAGGATCAGGAAACAGTCCTCCATTAAATGCTATATCTAAATCTGAATATTTGGGTTGAAATGTTCTGGAACAGTGTTGTAAATACAACTTAACCACTGAAGACCAAACAAAGTAGTTTTCACAACAAAACACACGGCGGGCTAGAGTGAGCGGTGGCGGGCGGGCTTGAGAACGGCACGGCTGGCGGATTAGACGAAGGAGCAACTGGCGAGCTTGTGGCAACCACCTGTGACAACCCCGGGCTGGACTCCGCTTCGTCCACGGTGAAAGCCGATCTGGCGATCTACAGCGCTAAGTTGATGTATTCCCTCAGCGACCAGCACGGATCAGCTCTAGGCATGACAAAGCGGATATCGTCCTCTTTTGGAAGACCAAACAAAGTAGTTTCGCTTTCACAACGAAACACACAGCACCTTCACGACATGGCGGTGGCGGCAACAACAATACTACAGCGAGAATAAAAGTTACGCCTTCTTTCTTTGTGTGAACATTTGGGCGGCGTTATGCAAATCTTCCCACATCGTGACGTAGACATGTGGGGGCGTGTTAGAACGAGCCGTTTTAGGTAGGTGTGGCTGACTCTTAACTTTTATAAAGAATATCTCTTTGGATCCGAGACTTTAGTCTTTGCAACTTTACAGATCTTCTTTATGCACCAAGAGCTTGTAACACTCCAAAGAGAAAGGAAAAATTTAAATCGCATCATATGACTCCTTTAATGTTGATGCCACACCTTTCCCGCTGTTAAAGAAACTCTTCTCATATGGGAGGAGCATTGCTGCCAAGTCCGGGTTTCCTGCAGAATTGGGCTACTTTAACACTGTTGCTGCGGGTTGTTTTTCATGTTCATGATATTTAACCCCTGGAATGCGAAGTTTACTAGGGGAACCCCCTCGAAACACAATTGGGCTAGTTTCGAGTAGCAACTCTTGTTGTGAAAACCTGGCAACCCTAAACAGTGGGGAAAAAAGTATTTAGTCAGCCACCAATTGTGCAAGTTCTCCCACTTAAAAAGATGAGAGAGGCCTGTAATTTTCATCATAGGTATACCTCAACTATGAGAGACAAAATGAGAAAAGTGGCTGACTAAATACTTTTTTGCCCCACTGTATATGAGATACTGTACGTTGATACCCGATGTATTGTATGTCTGTGTGGAAGCCCACTGTTTGTAGAGGGAAAATTACTGTATTTATTAGTTTTCTGTTTAAGGTATGGTATTTTATGTACATCAATTTACACTATGTATGGATATATATATATATAAAGCTGGAGGAAACCCTTGAAACAAATTCTTCAGTTATTTTACCTGTAAATTTGTGGTTTTCTCAAACCGCACATTCACAAGTCGCTTCCTAAATGTATTTGCAGGATTCTTCAGCAGAGTTTTATAGAATAAAGTATGTAACTCCAAGAGTCCAGAAGCCAGAAATCCTCTCTGGCATCAAAGTCTTTCTGCCATAAAACCCCAGACTACGAAACACCTCCATGTGAGTGGCAGTTACTTGGCCAGTATCCCACAGTGAGCAGAGCTGACCAGCTACATGTCCAGAAGAGTCCTGTGAGGGTTGCTTTCAAAGATTCACTCTGTCCTGTCTCTTCAACATCCACTGGCCAAGCACATGGAGGTCAGGGACCTTTCCTCAAGGTTTGGTTGGCCTTTGACTTTGAAGGTGAGTAAGGACAGTTAGTGGGACAAAAATAAGAAAGAGCAAGGAAAAATTGAAGCTATGAAGACTTCCATTTGCAGTTGTCACTGTAAGATAACTTTTGGAGAAAGGGTTATGGCAGTTGCGGATAGCATTCATCCTCACTTTTAACTCAAAGGAGTGTTTTGAAATGGAATCAACTTGCACCGAAAAAGTTGTTCATGTCAGATGGCCTTTTCGACTAGTGACTTAAGGCAAAAATCTTTATCTACCTCATGTGGAAAAGTTTTATCAATACGAGTGAAGAAGAGGCTGAAATTCTTCACTATTTACTGAGAGAGATCAAAATCAAATTGCCACCTTTATCTTTAAAGATTTTGATACACGAGTCTTCATTTTAAAACAAATGCAAATTAAGTTATGTAGCTACACATATTTGTTTTCTTCAGTACTTTAAACTGACATCCTGCCGCCCACAATCAGTCCTGCCCTGACTGACTGTATATAACGAGCCCTTAACCAACAGTCTTGTAGGACAAGAGACAAAACAATTGGATGGCGATCAATAGCAGTTCCATATAGCACTGCGAGAGGTCAGAGGTTTCATTTGGATTGCATGTCATGTGACACAGCAAGCACAGGGACTACAATCCTGCGACTCAAGTTCATCAACCATCAAAAGGTTAGATCTAGCTCTCCAGACTGAACAGAATAATCAACAGTCCTGGGTTGAGCTGGACTGCTGGCCACTGGATTGAAATAACAGGGAAAAAAATAATGAAAATGTTAATTTAATTGAAATAGAAAATGTTAACATATCTCACTTGTGATACATATATTATCATGTGACAATGGAGTAATGGCTGCAGAAAATTCAGCTTTGCCATCACAGGAATGAATTACATTTTCAAATACATTAAAATAAAATAAAAGTTATTTTATATTGTAATAATATTTCACAATACACAATAAGGTACACAGAAAAATTGCTAAAATGTTTTATTATCATTATTATTATCATCGTCATCATTATTATTCAAGTTTAGATGTAACAGACATCTTTGCCATCTTTATTGAATCTTTTTGCATGTAAAGACCTACCACACAAAAAAGAAAGAAAATAATAATAATAAAAGTTAAGGTGGCAGCTGAAAAAAAAAAAATCCTAAAATCATAATCTATGCACTTTAAATGCAGCAAGTGTAAAAACAATAACATTCTAAGAATAATGGTTAAAACATTTACATATTTATGCCCTTTGCCTTGACCTTGGCCAAACATGCTTCCAGGCTCCATCAAATACTCCTTGTGTTTCAATATTGCTAAGACCTTCAAACATAGGCAAGATCTCTTTCATTTATTATAATGCAGTACCTGTACTTAGCATGCTAATAACACATTTCATCTTTCTTCTTTTGCAATAGAGTAACTGAAGTGCAAGCATTAACATTTTGAAATTAAAACGAAAATTTTGACAAAAATAAAAATAAAGAATCTTATGTTATTTAATACCCAACTGTATAAATGGTTTGTTGAAAAGCGATGGTCTATAATGATTTCAGTTATTTTAAGAGGCATTTGCAGTTAAGCAGCGTTGTAAGGCTAGTTTCTAAAAAAAACAGAGAGAGCGAGAGCGAGCACAAATTAGACATTTTGAGTCTCAAGCTCTCCCCCCTTTCCCCAGTTCATATAAATAATGTCTGTATGAAGTCAGACTAGACCCAACTCACTGAACCTGTGACCATGAAAAGGAGCAAGTGTGGAGAAGTACACATGGGAGCACAACAACAACAACAGCAAAAAAACAACAGACATCTCAAAGTTGCTAGCAAACAAAAACAGAATCTGGGAGGTTCAAATATTTTTGCTTTTCCTATTCAAATAAAATGGAAAACTGTGAAGATGCGTGAACAGCTTTAAAATATATCAAGCGCTTGACTTGATAATAGTATGTTTGGATCATTTCTGAGCTCATTATTACTTAAAAACATGTTTTTCGGTCGCTCAGGTAGACAGTTGTCCACTCCACATGATAAAAGTTGCAAAAGTAGCATAAAAACCAAAGTACAGCTGGGTGAAACAACAATATAAATAATGTTATGCCTCTTTGAGACAACTGCCATTGAAAGGCACCAGAAACACCTGCAGTTATTAAGTTTCATCAACAGTACACTGAATAAAATTGTTAAAAAACTAAAGTCTAAGGTGTTTTCAACTGCTCTTTAGAATTAAAGGTGGAACCGAATGAATTTAGACTGGCACAAAGTTATTATTTTTATATTATAGAGCACTGGCTCCCATAAAATGGCCAAATAAAGCACAGACTCATCAATTTCCCTTGAATGTTCGGTATCAGAAGAGCAAGAGAAAAATACAGGAAGACTTCAGTCCAATACAAGCTTTTTCTTCAACTACAAAGCACAAGTACATGGTAAGAAGAGGCAACAGAAAATGACGACACTTGGAATGAATAGTGCCCTTTTGTGGCCAAAACTTAAAACAAAACAAAAACAAAAAAAACATAGTACTTTTGTTTAATATTCCACCTTTAGAGGAAAGGAAATTGAATTGTCTTACTGTTTTCATGAAAAAAAAAAAAAAAATCAGGGGTTGCTTCATGATGACGTTTGCTACATTTGCAAATGTAAACGTTTGTCAGAGCCAAACTCAAGGCCCTTATTCAGATGCGAGTTCAATGTTGCATATCAACATCTCATGTAGAAAATACTTTGTACAATATATCAGGCACTGATAATATGATTTTACTATGTTCAGGTGTTGCTTCATGATGACGTTTGCTACATTTGCAAATGTAAACGTTTGTCAGAGCCAAACTCAAGGCCCTTATTCAGATGCGAGTTCAATGTTGCATATCAACATCTCATGTAGAAAATACTTTGTACAATATATCAGGCACTGATAATATGATTTTACTATTAACAACCTAGAAAAAAAATATTTTTTTTATTCCTTCCCAAATTTCTAGAGTAGAGAATTGCATCCCAGCAACTAAGGCAGCAGCTTAAAAGTTTTGATGGAATTCTGTGACTTGAGTTACCTAACCCTATAACTTCAACACACAAAAAAAGACAAGAACGACAAGAACAAACAGAAAACCATAAGACATTTAGTATAATGTTAACTGGAGACAGACTATAAACTAATGTTGTCTATTCAGCCATACACATTCCCTGAGGATGCTGGATGTTTGTTTGAGGACGGCAGTCAATTATGCTGTTGCCATAGTGACAGACGACTGCCACATTTTCCTACACTGAGCCACACATGCAGAAACACATCCTCATTTTTATCAGAACCAGGTGAGAGAACTTTCCATAAATCTGCGAATGCACACGACGACGAGAAATGAAGCATTAAATTGGAGTAGATGTACCTTGCTTGCTGAACTGCCTTGTCGAAAATTACATATCTGGACTAACGAAAATATATCTAGATTGAGTAGCTACATGTACCGATGTCTTCAAAAAGCAGTCTTTGTTCGTTAAAAGTATACGTGTGTGTGAGCTCCCACAGAAATGCTATGCTGACTGAAGTTTCTTGCATTGGCTGCTTAGGCACCATGATCCGTCTTGGCACATTTCAAGCAAAAAAAAGTTCAATGCATTCATTCGTACAAGCGCTCTCTTTCCTCGCTGCTCTAATTGTGCTTGGACTGCAGGTTTGTAAAGCTCATTGGTTAGAGGGGTTGGCGTTCGCCTCGGGGGCTGCCCGGTGGAGGCCTCGCTGGATGTGTGTTGTGAAATCGTACTTATCGACGCAAGCGTGCAGGCAGATACTGCACTGGAAGGGCCCGCCGTCACCATGGCAACTCATGTGCAGGGCGTACAGGACCTCGTCCAGGAAGACAATGCCACAGTGGGCGCATTTGCTCGAGATGTCATCTTGCGTGGCCTGATCAATCTTCTCCGGTTGGGCGATTTGCGAAGTAGAGTGCTCCTCTTCGGGTTCTTCCGAGTGTTCCGTCTCCCGCTCCCTTTCAGAAGCGGTTGACGCCCATTTCTCCTTGGCGACGAGGGTCCCGTTGGGTGTAGGACTGGGTTTGGAATGTTTCATGGCCAGGTCGAGAGGTGTGTCGCTTTCGGGTCCAGAAGGGGTTGGTGGGGGGAAATGAGGCGGTAAGCCGAGGGTAGGGTAAGGCACAAAGCTTTGGCACGGATTGGGAAGGCCAGCCACAGGGCTCAGGTAGTGGCCCGGGTTGCCCGGCACAGACATCTTGTACTTAGTCCAGAAGCGCAACCAGTCCGCTTCGTTTTGCAGGTCATTGTGGAGGAAGGGTAGGCTGAAGAATGGGTACTGGTACTTCTCGATAGGGCTTCCAGGAGGGGAGTAGCTGGCCTGCTTCGATGGACGCATGTACTTCTCAATAGGGCTGCCCCGTTCAGAACCACCCTTGCCGTCCCCTCCCTGGGGTCCTGCGCCGAGCCCGTTGCCCTCGGCCCCGCCGTCCGCAGGGCTCTTGTGCATATGCAGGGGTGGCATGCGCTTGTGGATCTCCAGCGTCTGGTTGACGAGGAACGCGTGGGTGGAGCGGGGGCTAGGGTGACTTTTGGGTCCCGAGGAACCGTAAGCCTCGTATTTACCCAACTGCACTTGGGCTTCGGCACGTGATAAAGACCCATCAGATCCTGCTTCCTCAGTCCTCCTCTCTAAGGGGCTGCCGTTGAGACGCTCCTCGCTGTTGACGCGCTGCTGCTTGGACCCCACCTGCTCAGATGGTACGGGGTCAGGATTCAGGCGCTTGCGTGTCCGTCGACGGATGATTTGCTCGCCGTTGTTTTGCTTGATAATGTTCAGCGGTCTTGGGGTCTGAAAAAGAGTTATGCAAATTATTACAATTTGAAATTGGGGTCACTGACGTGATGCTTATTTTTTTTTTATATATATAAAGTTTTAGTCATTTTAGCACAACTTATTTTACTTAAGTTATTTGCCAAGGCAACATTTCTAAGTTTCATTTATGCATTTTAAGTTTACATTTCCATCTAATATTTCTACATGATTTTAAGATTTATTTCAATTAAAATGTCCTCATATTATGAAGGCAAAAAACTTCTTAAAAGAATAAAAACCTAGTGGTTTGACATGACCTTTTATTTCATAGGAATTAATAATTCATTGCATTTGTTAAAAAAAATTTTTACCTTAAGAAATTTATTTTTGTTGAGAACAATTAAGATTGGGTACGGTTGGGTACAATCTCCATGTGTGAGATCCAAACAAACAAATATTCACATGCTCTCCCAAGTGTGTGTGAGACTGGACCTGATCTATTTACTGCCTCATAAAAACAGTCTCTGATCTAATATTGTGATTTCAGTAGAGTGATTCATCCCTTCTGGGACTCAGAGGACACACTCCTGTAATTAGGCGGGTTAGCATAATAATCTCCCATCAAATGGCTATTAATTACTGCTTTATTTTCACTGGACTACGTAAGCCTAGCTCAAAAATCAAGACAGTGAGTTCACAAATATAAATGAGTGAATTATAGAAGTGACTTTCAGCTTGACTACAGGAAAGAGACAGAAATCAATGGGTGAAACTGTTATCAATTGTGCTACTTTACAAGAAAAAGCCCGAAGTAACAGTATGTTCCTTCTCATTTCTCATCCTTTACGTCTACGCTAAAATGGAAACTACTGTGTTTGGAGAGATGTGAGATATGCATATTTCATTTGGTGGCAGACCTGCAACAGGAGGGAAAGAATGGAGCACTTGTCTGTAATCTATTTTTCTGAGCACAGATTCCATCCGGGTAGGCAGTGGCTCGGGGGGAAAACTTCAGTAAGGTGACGCAACTCATTTAGCTACACTGCTAGACACATACTTCCAAGTCCTCGCTTGATGCAGAGATCACCCACGACTCACTCAGAACCAGAGATAATTGGCAAAAAGAACCATGTCGCTCCCCTCTACCACCACCTTCCGACTGCTTGTTGACTTTGAGGTAGAGGCACATCGAGGGAATCAATCATGTATGGTCGCCACTTGCCTTTGTAGCACCCAGATCCACCGTCATGTTCCTAGGCTAAGGAAAGCAATCTCTCTCAAAGATGGGGAGGCTTGGGAAACCAGTGTTTCAGTATGACAGAAGGAAAATATTTCTCTGGTACCCATTTTTCCCATAAAAGCTGGAAAAATTATTTATGCAAAAATGTAACTCCACCTCAAACTAGCCTTTGGCTCTGCACCATATGTTCTAGGGGAAGAAACATGAGATGCATATTTTCAATAATGCTTGGCCACTGGGGACTGGAGTTCAATCTAAAACAAATCTTACTGTGTTGCTTAAGTTCAGTTAATGCCCTGTGATAGATGGTGTTAAAATAAATGTGAGCGCTCACTTTTTGGAACATGTCAGGCTGGTTGTCTGTCTGAAGAGACGATGGGGATGAAAGCCAGACAAAAAGAAAGAGTGCCCTCTACTGCTGGACCACGTCAGGCCCTGACTGCACACTACAGAAAGAGGGCATTCTTTCTTGTTCTTTTTTTTTCTCTTCAGTCTAATTTTGTAAGGATTATTATTATTTAAAAAAATGAACAGTTCTTGATTTATCAGTTGGCTATGAGTTCTTGACTTTTTGGTTTCAAATATCAAACCAGACAAGAGACATTAAAGTCTTAAAGCCTTTGATTATATCTGCTTCCTACTACAAAATGACTAGTGGGGGATTAAGTTTGGTGGCCCCTGCACATTTAATAATAAAATGTATTTATATATAATATAAATATACAGTATATATATATATATATATATATATATATATATATATATATATATATATAAATGTGTACAAATAATGTATATGACGAAAAAAGGCGAAAAAATTAAATAAATGGTGTATGGCACTAAATGTGCATGACAACACCACCCCCACTCCCCTCCAAAAAATCCCTTAAAAAAATAATTTAATAAAATTATATGAAGAGCAGGCAAAAGCACGCACATCAATCTCAACTGGGTGCTCGACTAAGAAACAAGTGGAAAATTTTTGGATGTAAAGTCGGCAACAACAAAGCTCCAAAAGTATCAAAAAAATTATTTTTTTTAAAAACTGTCGCATACATATGCATACAAAATGACAGTTTTAAAAAAAAAAAAGTGATACTTTTGGAGCTTTGGTGTTGCCGACTTTACATCCCAAAATTTTCCATAAAAATATTAGATAAATGCATACAGCACAAATGGATGACTAGTTTTACAAGAAGTCTCTTTCGTAATAACATACTGTAGAGCTATTCAGCAACCTTGGGTATCTCTCCATTTATTTAATCTTATCTATTTTTGACAGTTTGAGTACCTTAGCTAAAGACTTTTTTTTTTTAAATTTATTAAAGGCTCAAAGGAGCCTGGAAGACTGCTGTCCGTGAACAAAACCTTGTTGCTATTCCGCTATTTCTTTCTACATTTTGGGCTTTCTTATTCCAATGGGTGGTCAGAGTTCAGAAGCTTCGAGAACTTTTTTGGAGAACGAATGACATTCTTTCTGCGTCCCACATAAAAAGTTCCTTGATGGTGTATCTGAAAAACGGAGGCAGCTGCAAGTTTTATGTCGGGCATTGACGCATGGCTACGGCGCATGTCGGGTCCTATTATTAGAAGATAAAATCTGAGAGACATTTATTATTGCAATGTGTTCTGGCACGAGGAGCCCAGACCTCCATTTAGGGCTCTCTACAGTGTGGTTTTATGAGGTGCTATTATGAAATGATTTCTGTACAGCATATAAAAGTTTTTATTCAAAAATATAAAAAATACTACTGGAAACTGACTGCCAGGCTGACATGAAGGACACAGTCTCCGCTGGCCTGCGTTAGCAGACTGTTTCATCAGTGAAACAGTCACTCGATTATTTATCAAACCAAGAACCTGAAAGACTATGAGATATCTTCTACTTAACATCACCACTGCCTTTACTTGGCTCCAGAAATCAAACTGCCGTAGAGGACTCGGCATGTTATTATAGAAACCAAAAACAGAAACATCAGGCAAACAAATCCTGTAGCCAATCGGCAGTGATTCGAAGGATCCCGAGGGCTTCGGAGAGGCGTCTCCACATCTTGTTTATTAGCTTCTAGTGGAGTGTGACGTGTACACAACCTGATGGTCCACTGCAGAAGCTACTTTACAGTATAAGAACACAGAGAGACTATGCCCAACTGGTCATTCAGTCCACCGCTGGAATGTACAGGCTTTAGATCAATCGCACCACACAGCTGTAAATATCATCAAAGGTGAGCACTGAGCTAGAACTAATAAAATACAGATCTATGCTATTGCTATTTTTGTATACAATATGAGGGAAATACACTTTTCACCAGCACTGTAGGCAGTCATTGCACAAATGTAAATAAAAAGATAAGCTCAAGAAGAGTAAAGGTAGCAGTTCTCATTAATAGGTTTAAGGTCTTAACAGATTACATCTAAAATAACCAATGTTTTTCATACATTTCATTCATTAAAGGTTCTAAAATGTTTACAACATTCTTTCACCAATACCGATAGTGCCACTTTGCCTCTTTAAACGTTGCCACTGTCAAGACAATCAGTTTGACTTATTTTCTGTCAGCTATCAAAAATCTAATTTGAAATGCATGATTCTTTCTTTCCTGTGCTAATAAAGCCCATTTGAACACACCTTTCAGTGGTTTACATGTCACTTCTGTATAGCCTGTGCAATGGAAATACTTCTGCCCACTTTTTTTTCCACAGACATGGGGCACACAACATGCCTCAGTCGAACTAAATACAAGATATGGGTTTTGCAATATATGTAAACATGTTATGCAATACATTACAATTATGTAATAAATTGTAGAACTTATTATTGTTCACTACATTTTAAAATTTTGAGCCAAGTAAGATTTTTGAATACTTAAGAAATAAGAAGATAAGAATACTTTTATCCAGCAAGGACACATTATATTGATAAAAAACGGCTTTGTTACAAAATATTTCTATTTCAAATAAATGCTATTCTTTTGAAATGTCAATTCAAAGTATCCTGAAAAAATGTATTATGATTTACACAATAATACTAAGTAGCACAACTGATATCAACATTGATGAAAAGAAATGTTTCTTGAGCAAATCAGCATATTAGAATAATTTCTGAAGAATCATGTGACAATGAAGACTGGAGTAAAATAGCTACTGAAAATTCAGCTTTGCCAACACAGGAATTTTTTTTATTTTTATATATTTTAAAACGGGACACAATTTTAAATTATAATATTAATAATAATATTTCACTTGTAACCAGTTATCGCCTGTGTGTCTGATTAGGCCTAAAGAATAACTGAAGCCACTGTGTTCCACTCAAATTCATCACCCCTTGGTTTTTAATATCAGTGTGATCTCAGAAGTAAAACTGTCAAGAATTGTTCCCATTTCCCTTAAAGTCATGGTCACCCCACTTTTTCTGTCCCAGGAAGCCAGAGCAAAGACTGATGCGAGCATCAGTACAGCTGCTGCATCAATGCATGTTGGAACTCCAACATAAACGTCAAAGTTAGAAAAACTTCCAGCGTGAGGAAACTTATTTACTCCAGACAGTGTTTAATGTGGGGCAGTAAATAGAGCATACAGTATTTCACAAGCTCAGCTGTGAAGCGCCCATTGATTGCAGGCTCTCTGATGAAGCGGTGCGGACAGACGGCCAGATGTGAGAGCCTGTGTCGGGTCAAGTTAGCACGACTCAAGCCACCAGGTGGCATGGCCCCTGAAAGAGCCTCTTGTGGTCTGGGCGCTGTGGTGCCTTAACACGCCTTACCCCAGCCGACCACACTGATTCAGTCGGCCCCTGTTTCCAAGCCTGTGCCACCCAGGCACTAGTCCCGATAGCCCGAGGCCACTGAGGCAAAGAGCGCTTCCAACATTGCATATCAAGACAGGAAGAAACCGTAACACTCACAGACTTGACCCAATTCTGAAGGAGCGCCAAAGACTAGAATGCAAAATCAATGTTAAGTCCAGCAACAGGCCCGAGAACAATGTTTTTTCTGTTTCTCCGGCTTAATTACTCGCATGTTGTCGAGACTGTTTACCCATCATGTTTATCCAGACACCATTTCAAAGGAAATGGAATAACACTAGAACACTTTTAAGGCTGCAGATTAAGCTTTAGGTACGACTGCAGATTAAAAAAATGCTAATTCAGATCAAAATTAAATTGGGACAGCGGAGAACTGAGGCGATAAAGCAAATCAAATTAAGTCATTTAGTGACAGAGTCCAGAAACGAGTAGTTTCATTTCTTTGTGCACATTTCACACAGACTGAAAAATTAATTAAATATTCACTGTATAGTCACAATTTATGCATTTATAAATATCATATATAAAATGTTTTTGTTGATATTATTTGGATAAACAGAAAGCATGCATATGACCATAATTAAATGCAACAGTGCCTTCTCACTTTTTGCAGAAGTATTTTTTCTATTTATGTCTCTGTTAAAGACATATAAGCTATGAATCAAACCAACCAGCTATTAAAGAAATGACAAGATTACAAACTTTGTTTGAAGGGGAAAACATTTTAAAATTGGACAAAAACACAGTTATAGACTGTGTACTTAATGAGGAATATATTCATATATATATACAGTGGGTACGGAAAGTATTCAGACCCCCTTAAATTTTTCACTCTTTGTTATATTGTTCAATTTTGAGAGCATAGGAGAAGACTGTTCATATAATGTTCACATAATTCACAGTTATTTTTCTTTTAGAGCGATTTGCTTATAACGATTCTTTGAATGATGGAGATTTCTTTGCAGAATCATGGGTAATGCAGCTTTTCACAAGGAAATCTGCTGGAAAACTGAATGATTATTTAAAAAAAAGCAGGCTGATAGCTTCAGCAAAAACATTTGCCATTGATTAAAAACCTTGGAGCTCAAAAAAGTTCTATATTTAAAGGCTTACAAGTTATCATTAAAAATCAATACCCCTATGTAGAAAATGAATGGGATTTTTACTTTAAGAACCAGAATATTACACTCTATAAAAAATATAGTTTAACCAAAAACAAAATTTCTGTCATCATTTATTCTCCCTTCCAAGCTTTGACTTTCATAGACTTATCAGCTTTGGAACACAATAAGAGATATTTAGCAATTCCCGAGCTTCTTTTCTGCATACTATGAAAGTGGATGGGCACTAAAACAACTGTAGTTGCCACTGACTTTATCGTATGGAAAAAAGCAGCTTAAACATACTACTCTGTCTCTACTCCGTACGGTCTCTTTTTGTGTTCCACAGCAGGCTGTTGTTGTAAATAAGAATGTGTTGTTAAGTGATTTGCCTGGTTAAATAAAGGTTAATAATAATAGGAAATTCATATGGGTTTAGAACAACATGAAGGTAACAAAAATGTTAAAGAAAGACTCCACTTGACTGGGTTTTAAGGTTGTGCCAGTAGGCATTGTGTCTCGGGTTTTAAGGTCAGGTGTTTGTTAGGACTGTGGGAAGTGGGGCTCCCAGCTGGTGCAAAATTACTTCCATAGGGCCATTAGCTGGCTGCAGGGCTGAGGAAGGCCAAAAGGGCTTTTCCCCCGGGGTCCTCGCCTGACAGTGCGGAAATGAAGCGATCAAACCGGAGCTGCTACACTGTCACCTCTCCATTCATTTTGAACTCTGTTTCTGCGATTTGTGTGTGGGCTGGCGAGGCGTTCTCGCCGTCCCTTGCACTGATGTTTTCTTAGTTCCCCCCCTTACCGAGTGCAGCTTCTGATAGAGGCCACACGCGTTGCACACGTAGCCGCCGTTGGCATTCTTCCTCCACAGCGAGGTCTTGGTGGTCAGACAGTTGGCGCAGAAGACCCCCGAGCCCCGCCGTCTCTGAAATCATAAAAAAGAAAGAGAGCCAAAATGAGTAAAAAAGCAGGCTGTTGAGAAAAATAGGGATGGAGATTCATGCTCAGCAGGGAGGTGAATGTAAAAGAGAAAGCAAGAAAAAGAGGCAGAGGGAGGAAAAAGGCGAAAAAAAATCCCAAGACTCAGCAGGGTGTAGCTGGATATGGCAGCTCTGATGGTGAGGGACACAATGTGAACATAATCAGAAAGCCAGGATGAGGCACAATTAATAGAACCAAGCTGATTCTAACACTAATTAACCTTCCCGTGATTTATAGGCTTTGTAAGATACCGCGTCAGTGAGAACACACCACCAACTTCAAAATGGGTCGCCCGCACCGGCCTGACATAAATATTTTGATCTTTCAATAAATGTCTCATCTCGAACGCCATACATACAAAACACGTGAACCGTTAAATCCATGGCTGGAACACAGAATATCTAGTAGCTTGAAATATTGCACTCTACAGTGAGAGAAGGGGAAAAAATAAACTCAAGTAGGAAAAAAAGGAGAAAGATATAGCCACATGAATCATCCACCGGGAACGGACAGAACTACAAGTGAATCCCGAGAGTCAACCGGGGCAAATCACAGGAATTATCTCGATTATGGTCCCTGTAAAACTCATTTAGCCTTATAGAATGTGTACGATTTATTTAGCCTAACTTCAGACGGCTTGAGCAGGGAGCACATTTCTCCTGCCAGGAAAGTACAATGCTCCTAATTGTGCTCTAATACATTTAGAATGGAAAGCTTTCTGCAGACATAATTTTGGCTTTGAGTCGGTAGAGCTTTTTTGGCAGGGAAAGGGCACTTGATTCATCGGGTGTTTCACAACGTATCAGTAAAGTTTTTGGGGTGCCGCCAGCTTCCTATAGGGTAATTTTTCCATCCAGATGCGCCATTGAAGGGCCCTGCATCAGCTAAACTAATTATGATCTCACCTTCGCTGATGCTTGCTCACTCTATGGTTCGACATCTCCCATTAATCATAGATACGTAGAAAATGAATGTGAAAAGAGAATGAGGGACGGTAGCCTGCACAACCATAAAGAATAAAAATGATGGCAATAACTTAATGAGATGGAGCAATGTTTTCCATGAGCTATCAGCAAATGCAAAGTCACTCTGACAACTGCCCTTTGCAACCGCAGAGCATCATTCTGATGCACGCAGCATTTCAGGCAGAGAGGGAGGGATCTCGCATCCTTTATTGTACACATAAAAAGGTAGGTAAACTCAATGAAGGTGCATAAACACCGTTCTAATGGCTTGCCGCAACAATAATGACACTATCCTTACATTAAGCATTAGACTTACCCAAATCAATAGTTGTATCCTTCACAAAAAGTACTGTAGCACTACCATATTATGTTGATGGCTTTAGATGGTAATGCATTTACATATTCTATGGGTACTTCAATTAAATATTTGTAAATAATGTGTAATTCCAAATCTGTAGGCCTATGACTTAAAGGGATAGTTTGGAACGGTATTGACTTGAATTTGTCACTTTTAGATGAACTGTCCCTTTAAGACAGCAAGATGTCTGGCATGTCCCACAACACAAACCCACAATACCTTGCTGGAAGACTATCTCAAAATCGAATTATGGCTCATTTACGTCAGAATCAGTGCTTTCTTACAAGCTTTAAGCGAGAATGTATATATTTTCTGATCTCAGTGGGGTTTTTAGAGGGCCACATGCTAGTCCTGACAGTTTAGACATGATTGATTGATTGATTCTTTCCTATCCTGTTCTAGCGTTACAAGCCAAACAAAGTGTCCGTCATCAGCTTTGTGGATTTCTCTCCCTGGCCTTCTGGGCTCCAGAGCCAAATCACTCACACGTGTTCCCTCCGCCTGGCCCGCAGACCTTCATCGTACAACAGCCGCAGAGAGTTAATATACATACAAACTACACACAGTGTGAACACAACTGATAATTTATCTTGTTGGTCAAATCATTCATTTGTGCTGGGCCTCCTGTTTTGCCATCCAGAAAGATTAAATGGTTATGGATACAGTGGGCCAAAAGCTTTGGATTTAAAACAATATAGATCAAAAGCTCTGACTCTTAGAGCCAAAACTAAATCGGAATGAAAGGCTGATCATGTCTGCATCTGACTCTGGTGTCCACTGACTGTGATAAGGACTGTTTCAGTGTTAGAATTAATTAGACTCTTAAATTGTGTAATCCTTTTATCAAAAGGGAAAATAAATGGAGCACTTAAAGAAAAAAGTTTAATTCTATCCATAAGTATATATACACACACATATATAAAAAATAATTATAGAAATATAATTATAGAAATATAAATATAATTATATAATTTCAAAATAAAAAAATATGTAAAAAAAAAAATTACATGTAATTTTTTAAATAATAGATAATTTTGGTATTTATGGTTGAAAAAGTGAACTCCATTAATCCACCATTAGCAGGTGTTTTTTACCCTTAGCAGTAAAAAAAAAAAAAATTTGACTGGCTGCAGTCAAATTAATGTCTCAATTAAAATATTAACTATTATTCCAATCAAACGTTCAGTGTCATTAAGTTTATTGTAAAGACAAGTCTTTATATATTAGGTTAAATGTACAAGTGAGTTTTCTTACAGCAAACTCACAAAATAAAATATAAAACGGAGAGGCTGACCATGTTTGCTTGACACTGGTGGCATCTAGTGTGCTGGATCACAGTAAGAACATGATCCCATGATTGAACTGAACCAGCAACTTACATTTACTACCCACTTGTTAATAAACAATCAATCATACAGTCTTAAAAATAAAGGTGCTTCAAAAGGTTCTTCACAGCGATGCCATAGAAGAACCATTTTTGGTTCCACAAAGAACCATTCAGTCAACGGTTCTTTAAAGAACCATCTCTTTCTTACCTTTTTGTAATCTGAAGAACCTTTTTTCACCACAAAGAACCTTTTGTGAAACAGAAAGGTTCTACAGATGTTAAAGATTCTTTATGGAACTATTTAGACAAAAAGGTTATTCTATGGCATTGTGAAGCACCTTTATTTTTAAGAGTGTACACAAACAAGGTGCAGAGATTGCAAGAACAACTTGTTGGACTGATATAAGGTCAAAGCGAATTTCCAAAACAATCCAAAACTAAGCAACAACAAGTATCTAAAGGAAAAATACGCAAGCTATAGTGACAGTCCATTACATTTTAAGTAGGATCAAATATAAAGTAGTGTCAATACGTTCAGATGTGAAAGTGTTTGGGAGCGGGTCGTGGGTCAATTACACAGGAAAAGCCAGAAATAGCCTTCTCCTGTTGAATGGTGCACAATCCCAGACATCCTTTTCAATTATCAACTGGACCAGTCTGCCATCTGTAAAAACGAATGCGTGCCTTGCCAGGTTCTGTTTTTTTTTATCTCTTTCTCCCTCCATTACATCTCAAAAAAAGGACAAGTTGGCGAAAGAAAAAAAGAAGAAGAAAAAAACACATTTGACTGGCTTGCTGCAGCTGCTCACCAAAGGAAAAGGAGGGGAGGCAAATGAGAGAAAGCCCTGATTGTCTTTGTTTTCCCAAAGTGTGGGGTGATTTTTCTCGCCTGCCACGTCTGGCTGTGCTGTGAGGTGATGCATTGCTTTTTTCCGCAGGCTAGAGGGGCCGCAGAGAGACCAGGCCCTGTCTGTTTCCAGGCCTGCTCCAGTTTATCACTGTATCTGCTCTCAGCGCTGCTCCCGCTATCTGGTATCCGTCACGGCCTTCACAAGGTGCCATGCATTATCACGCAGCACCCCCACTGGTTAAAACACCACTAATCATAATCAAAACAAACTTTGCGCTACCTTTCATCTGCAGTCAGGATGAGGTGTAATAATAGGCTGGATTATGTCTTTTTTGGGATCATTTATTTCCATACGGCGAAGGCTACAACAAAGGTACGCGTACAGGTAGCGCAAGGTTAGAGCTACTCGCAGTAAACAACAAAATGGCTGTTCTTGTTTGCATTGCGGGCTGTGATGAATGACCCTGCTGCACTCTGGTACTTTCTGAGTGTGTAGCTTGTGCATTCTGTTTGTACGTGATTGATTACGCATGCCTAACACTAGGCGCTCTAGGGAGTCGGACTAATTCAGTCCTCGTGAGAGGAATCTGAAGTAATTAGAGGCAGGACCTAATTACATCTATTTATTTAACTAGTATGTTCCCACAATTCCATAAAGCTCTCCATTAAAAGCTTCTAGTCTCAGGTGAAAGAGGCGGGGAAGAAACATCACACCTTTCTGTCTTAAACCTATTACGGTAATCAGCTGCTCTCAAGGTTTTGCAACCGGTTTCGCAGCCATTGTCGACTTTCGGTTCTAAACAATGTGGCGTCTATAAAAAAATGTCTGTGTTAGAGGTGAAAATAATAGCTTTGAGCACCAGGGAGATTTCCAGGCCTCTGCGACGTCAATCCTATAGTCGGTTTTGGTGAGGTGGACAGCAAAATCGTGCCTAAAAGCAGAGACAGTTAAAATGATGAGAGGAAGCAGGGGATGCTTGGAGACTGACACATCACAGATATAATATGTGAAAATAAGGGCTAATAATGCATTTGACATGCTGTGTGACTGTAAGAGAAAGGATTCTTTGGTTTAAAGGGGGCGATTTGCACACAAAGCCGGTGAAATGAAATTACATGTAATTCACTTAGGCAATCCGCGGGGCCTCTTTCATTAAATAAACAATTATTTAATCAGCTGTGGGGAAATTAGGTGAACCCCTACTGACAATTTCAATTTTAGAAATCCTGCATCAACTTTTCAAGGCTCAGGCAGTACCATCGAAACGCCGTCGGCAAACATCTGGATACAACTCCAGACATATCGAACCATCAAGTCCTATCTTTCGTGGATGTTATATCGGGCTTACACAAATCCGAAGTCTCTTGCTGAAATGGAGTCGTAATTATATAATTCAGTTTGATAAATAAGGTTTAATATATTCTGTGAAAGCTTCATTTCTCC